GGCATCGATATGTAGCTTCACAGTTATATTACAGGATATTTTATATACAATACTACATTTTTGGGAGAAGAATTGGGTAGTAGGTGGTCTTTCTGTGCTTTGATAAAACAAGACAATTTATTCAGACTATAAAATGACAAGTTCGTATATAAACTATGATATGTCTAAATTTGTCCGAAACCGGCTCTATATAAATAGAATCGTGAACCATAACATTTTTTTCAGTTTTTTTCTGTGGAATTGTACTAGTCTGAATAATTGGTTTTTTGTTAACCAATTGTTTTATTCTTTTTGAAATAGTATTGGAAATAAAATGTAAGAGATCACCAGATATAAATATGTCACTTTGGTAGAAAACTCACCAATCTGATCAGAAGCGTTGTTATATTTCGATGATACGAGATACTCGTCAAAACCGAGATAACGCAACACTTCTGACTAGATCGACGAGTTTTTTTTACTGAGATGACGTATTTGCTTATTTTTTAACTTAAGACAAATAATTAAATTGACATTTTTATTAGAACATCAAGAAATTTTTGTCAATCAGTCGTCCAACCTTTTAGCGAGTAATTTCCGTTTCTCCGTAAAACTTTCAATTGGTCTCTCAAAATACGTATACATGAATTATTTCCATGTCGTACTACGATCTTGGTAACATCTTGAAAAAACTGCGTTTTTCATTATTATATATCTGAAGATGATCTAATCGAAAGACCGAAACATGTAATAATTTTAATCGATTATAGATTATAATAATATTTATTATGTAATATACTTTATATTTTTTCTCAACATAAAATTTGTAATTTAGACTCTTATATGGCTTTATTATATTTATTGTTTATTGAAATCAAGAGTCCTTTGTTATTAACTGTTATTAGTAAAATTTTTTATAATTATTATAATTTTTTATAATTAAATTTTGAATACGAGAAAGAATTTGTCAACTAGATTAATAATCGTGCCTCTTTTTTGTGAGAGGGGATGCTAAGAACTAAAATTATTTCCCCGAGAACGCGCGCTTGTTTGTGATATGTATCAAACTTATAATATAACAATTGTCAACAACAATAGTGGAATCCAAAAAATTAATTTCTTTATTACCAATTTCCATTGTAAATTGAATTCTGGGATGTACTGAATTAAATTTAGCCAGCACATATTCAGTTTTCGAGGACGAAACATCCAGTGAAGTCAAAATCATATCATTGTCAAATCGTTTATCATTGACTAAATCACACTATTCTTAACTAAATCAAGCTATTTTTATGGCTATATTGGAATGCTTTTAATAATTATCTTGTGCAAAAAAATAGCGCTAACATATAAAAAGGGCTATCAATAGATGAGACCATGATTCTGAGGGGATGATCCAGCTTGTAGACCTTAGAAAGATATGTAAAAGTATTACATTAACACACCATCACTGCAATTAAGAGTCTTATACATTAGATCTGAAATAAATTTAGAATTTTTTCAACCTCTAAATAAACTTCTAAGATTGTTTGTCATCATTTTCAATGGTGAT